TTTAAATGGTGCTGAGTGAAACAGCTCATCACACTCACCGGATAGCGGACGGTATAAGTCACACCTAGTCCATGCAAGGTGGATATTCCAAATTTTAATTCTGAGCATTTGTATCTTACCCCCCACCCCCCCCCCCAAAAAAAAGCTATGTGACTACAAGTGAGCCTTCCATGCCTTCGTGATCATGCAGACAGTTATAGGGCAGGGGGGTTGCGCTCTATTCCTGAGACGACTTCTCCATCTTTCACTGGAGATACTATTGAAACTGCTGAGGTGTTCAAAAGATATGCAGGATTGCTGTTGTTTGGTAACACGTTTATTTTCAAGAGATCTCAGAATGATCAGAATGGTAGAGCTAATGAATACACATGTGGCAGAGATGTCTGGCTGACGACCACTGACTGGTGACCCCTTTCCATAGTGCAAAGTTGCCACTGCAAGCAGCTGCCCCCACCAGGCACTGCATTGCCCACACCAACCACACGCCATCTTGACTTACATTCTATTGGCCAAAACCAGTCACGTGGCCCCCAACATCTAGACTGGTCAGTCCCAGGCAGTGTGGGAAGTGAGTGGCAGTGATATGCATCCCCTCTAGACTGTGTGTAGGACAGGCTTTCTCCTTAGTATCTGCCCTTCCAGCAGCAAGACTGGAGACCCTCTGCTGAAGATGACTGTATCGTAAGACAGAAAGAGCCAGAATCCCAAATACTTGGGGGACAGCCACGTAGGAGAGTTGCCTGATCAAGAAGGAACATTGAATCTTGCACAAGAGAGAGTAAAATTTTATGTAGAGACCTGAATGTTGGGAGCTTTTGTTAGAGCAGTTCATCTACTCTGACCAAATGGTGGAAACTGAACAAATACAACAAATATAACAAGTATGTTTTCTAGGGATCCAGGATTCTTGGGAAAATAAAAGAAGAGCACAAGGAAGAGAAGGCTCAGCTGCAAAGGCAGAAAAATCCAAGAGGAGGAAATGAGTTCATTTCCTGGGTCAGCACCTCTGAAGTGTCTGTTCTCAGAAAAATCATTTCATTTGTCTGAAGCAATGAGGACTCCAAGGGACAGCCTGGATATCCATATAGTCATTTTTGCAAAAACATAAAGCAGAGAAGATTACAAATAATAAGTTTGCCGTACTGAAAAATGAGCCACCTAGGAGTGATAAGATGGCTAGATAGCATTTTTAATACAGTCTGCTATTTTATCTGGGAGATAACCCACTGAAAAGGGAGAAGAGACACAAAGAAAGATACATTGAGGGAAAAAGGATGACGTTGAAAAAAAGAAAACAGAAAACTACAGAATTAAAGCAAGAGAAAGAGTCAAAGTGGTTAAAATTGGTTTCAAAAAGGAGTTGAGGTTTATGGCTGTGTGGATAATTTTTAAGACCCAGGTATAGAAAATGCATATATATAGATATTTATTCAACAAATATCTACTGAGCACAACTATGTGTTGGGACTCTGTGACAGGGACCAGGGGATACAAGTGTGGACAAGACACTGTTCCACCCTCTATGGAGCCCAACGTCTTAAACAGAGAATAAAGAATTGTGACACATAATATCCTATCACATGGGCTCTCCTAATAGCAACTGCCTAATTTTCTATTATTCAAAATATAGTCAAGACCAGGGGAGAAAAAGAGCCCTATTTCCCTCCCACCCTAACTCCGTCTTCCTAAATTCTATTTTAGCAACCCGAAAGGGACAAATTGGCTGAAGAAAGAGAAAAGTCTAAGTCTTTAATAGACCATGACAAAAATAGGGCTCGATAATTATTTCCAAGGAAATGAAATTACTTTTTTATCGCCATACACTGAATGGCTTTCCCTATTGTCCTCTGTAAAGTCTCTAATAGCACTAGTTGCAGAACGCACAATTCCTGGCCATAGACAATGCAACCGCAAAAATTAGTCTCTTGTGTGCAAAATAACACTTTCATAACAACGGGCAATTCATGCCTGCTCTCTCTAGACCTTTGCCGAACAGATATCAGTGCAGGCTAATTGCATGAGCTTGCTGAAAATTGTGTGCGTAATGGAAAAGCCTCCCCCCCGCCCCCGAAGAATAGCTGAGAAAAGGTCTTAGCACCAAATAGAAAACAACAGAAAAAAGTGAGAGGGCAAACATGAGAGCGTATGCACTGGCATTCTCATTAGCTTGCTGCAGTTAACCACTTCTGTTGATGCGAATCAAAGAGCTGCTAACTCTCTGCCTTGAAAAAGACTCCCTCCACAGCTAGACAATTTTCCCCTTATGCTGATTCAAGCACTTTGTAACAACATACAGATACTGATCATCCTTACGTGGAGGACTTTTGTCACTCTGGGAAGCAGAAATGGTTAATGTCAGAGAGAGAGAGAGAGCTGATCTGGGGAGGCGAGGACCCATGTTTCCCATTCTACTTTGTATGTGTCACCGTGCCACACGTCTGACACAGGAAGCCTACTGCAGGAGGTGTGGCATTGGAGTCTCTCAGGAAGTTTCAGGAGGAATCTTGTAACGCCCACACACTCGACAAATAAAACAACAGCTCTGATGCCATCGACCGTGTGTAGCGCCATCACCCCAAAATTCGCTGAGAATTTATCACACATTTGTACAAGTGTTTCATTCCAGACCCATCTGTAGCCACCTAGGGTCCTCACGGGAATGATGACCTGCTCTAATTGTGGAACTTAAGACGGGCTTCAAGAAGGGACTTTTCCCAAAGGTCTGGGCAGGGTATAGGGAAATCCAAGTACAATACCAGGGGACTATTAACAGCTTATCCCTAAGGTGAAGGATCCAGTGGAGGGAATGGAGAGAGGGTGGGGGAGTAAGAGACAGAGAGAAAGAGACCTAACAAAAATCCTCATCTTCATTCAAGGATCAGCGATGCAGTGTCCTCCCTGGTCAAGGATGCATTAACCTGTGATAACGCCGCAAGGAGAGAGCTTCTTTTCCTTCCTCCCTCTTACTACTCTCTTTCCCATGTTCCATCTTTGGTCAAATCCAAAGGAAGACTAGATAGCAAAAGAGCCCAGAGCCTCCTGATAAAGTTAAAGTAGGCCAACCTACTGGGCAAAGGCAGACCAAGACTAAGCTGCAGTAGGGGGCTCTGAAGGGTGGGAAGTGAATCGGGTGGGGCAGACGGAAGACCCGCAGCACCGTGGAGTCCTCTATAGCAAGCTCATGGCCCATCACTTGGAATTTAAGGAAAAGTAAAGAAAAATTTCAATAGAGCTACCCTTCTGTAAGAAACCGAGCTGACATACAAGATTGGACTATCAAACCACATTGACTCAAATCAGAGCTCTGACCCACTATGAAGCTTTCCTGATAGTTTTAAGGACCTGAGCAAGTCAAGAGGCTCAGACCAAGTAGAGAGAGGCCTGGGACATGATGTGTGGCTGCCCTGGTCCTGTCCTCCCATATGGCCTTGGACGTGGCCTAGAATAGTAAGTGAGGTCTCTTCATGAGGTCTGTGGGCTTCCTCAGAGAGCAGGAACATTTAAATTATGAAACATTTCTCTTTGATACCCAGGGAGCTGCACAGCCCACGTGCTGTTCTCCAGGGAGCCCTGCCTCCCAGCTCCTGGGTTCCATTTACTGGAAGTATTATACGACCTTAGCCGAGGTACAGCTGAGAAGCAGGTTTGACCTGGTTACCCGCCTTGCTTTCTTTACCCCGGGTCAACCTCCCACACTCCCAGGGAAGGGAGGGAATGAATGATAGGCAGCTGCTTTAACTCCTTGCTCCCACAAACACTGCTTTTAACAATAAAAGAGGAAGGGAGAGGTGTGTGTGCATGAGAAAGAGAGAGAGAGAGAGAGAGAGAATGATAGATTATTAGGAAGAGAAAGAAAAAAATATGAAGGTAGGAACACCACTGGGTGTTCCTTATACAGGATTGACATGTGGAAATCAGCTATATCTCTTACTCTGAACAATCTTCAAACTTTGCCAGGCAAAGGCACAGCAAAATGAAACTCAGATTACAGGGAGATCACAGGCATCACACATGCCTTCGCCCCACTGTACGCCACTGTCCAACACTGTTAGACTTGGCTCCTCCTGGGCACAACCAAAATGATGCTTCATCCATCAGAATCTCAAGCCACCAGTGCCTCTTCTCTGCTTGAACCATGGGGCTTCTAGGCTTCCTTTACCCCAGGTTGAAGGAGATTATGTAGTGAACTCTAAAATATAGGACTGTGGCCGTGTGCAGTGGCTCACGCCTATAATTCTAGCACTCTGGGAGGCCGAGGTGGGAGGATCGCTTGAGGTCAGGAGTTTGAGACCAGCCTGAGCAAAAGTGAGACCCCATCTCTACTGAAAATAGAAAAAAAATTATCCCATTCCTACTACAAACAGAAAAAAGAAAATTAGCTGGCCCTGGTTATGGGCACCTGTAGTCCCAGCTACCTGGGAGGCTGAGGCAGGAGGATCAATTGAGCCCAAGAGTTGGAGGTTGCTGTGAGCGAGGCTGACAGCACGGCACTCTAGCCTGGGTGACAGAGTGAGACTCTGTCTCAAAAAAAAAAAAAAAAAATATATATATATATATATATACACACAGGATCGTAAGCAGAGGTGGGAAAGTTGAGGGGGTCCCACAGCAGGGACTGGGGTTAAATCTGCTAACCTGTTGACACTGTAATCAAAATTTTATGTAACTGTGTATTTTTTCAGGATAGTATCCAGAACGCCTATCAGATGCTCAAACGGACTGAAGGGCTATAAAAGTTGAGCCAGTAAAACAACACAATGTTTTTAACAAACGTGGATCCTGGGACAGGTAAGTTGAGTTCCCCTGCCAGGGGTGTCACCCTGGTCTGCACTTCTGGGCCCGTCTGTCCCCTCTCCCCAACAGGAGCTTCTCAGAGCCCAGCATCAAGCCTGAGAGTGAACACTCTTATATTCCAAATGATTTCAGTGATGCTGTGAAACATTTTGCACACAAAACACATATTTTTAAAAACTAAAAGAAACGGGAAGAATAGAACTTACCGTTTTGTTTTGTTAGACAAAGACTTAACGCCATATAACAGATTCTTGCATTTCTCTGTCAGCAGGAGTGATTTCTCATTCAGATATGTGCTGTTTCATGGAAGAGATTTAAAAAAAAAGATTCTTTTAAAATGAGAGCTTATAAGATATTGTTAACAAAAATCAGATTTAATTGATAAAGCATGTCCAAATGAAGTCTGATTTTCACCCCATTATTGGATTTCTCCATGGAAAAGGAAATTAATATTTTCACCTCTGACAGGTTTAAATTAAAAAAAAAAACCAGCTTACACTATGAAGTCAAACAGAAAAGAACTCTCTGTTGAAGACTTCATATCCTCGGGTTTTCATATTTTGAGGTTGGTATTTACAATGATTGAATAGTTTTAATCAGTGCATAGGTACTTATTTTTAAAATATTTAATTTTAAAATATATCTTTGGTAGGAAGCAGCAAGAGATTCATAATTCTCTCCATGAAAAAAAAAAATAATGCAAATCTGGCCTTTGATTATATAACAGCTATGATATCAGGGCCCGGTGCTATTGTTTGCTAAACTTGGAAAGTTGGAGGTGGAACAAAACCAAATAAAATGCAGGTTAAGGATCTGGGTTATGGAGCTGGGCTGCCTGGTGAGCTGTATGGACATGGCATGTTATTTAATCATCCCAGGTATCATAGGTTTCCCCATCTCTAAAGTGAGGATAACAGTCCCTACCACATAGTCTTATTGTCATGGTATCTGCATGCTAAAGAAAACAATATAAAGCACTTGGCACCACCATACCTCACACATAGTAGGTGCTCAAAAATATCTGCTATCACTTTCTTTAGACTTTATACACACACACACACACACACACACACACACATGAAACTCCAAATTATCGTAAATGCATTTATTTAATCATCCTAAAGGTATTTTTTGAGAACCTAATATGGGGTCCAGGCACAAGATGCTTAGGACAGAGAGGAAGAGAACACAGACATGGTACCTTTCCCTAGCAGAGCTTGCAGTCTCTTCAGGAAGAAAGATATTTAGCAAACAAATAAGCACACAAATGAATACAGAATTATAAACTGTGACCGGTGTGGCTGAACCAGAATAGGGGACACAGAAGAGTCACAGGGAGACCTGTTCACTCTGAGGGGTCAGAGGAGGCCTCCAAAGGAGTATCACTTAGGTGAAGATTCCCAAGGATGATCCAAACGAACTGGGAGGAATGTTCCAAGCAGAGGAGCAAGTATATGCAAAGGCCCCAGAATGGGGAGCAGTGTACAATATTTGAGAGACTGAAAAGACAATGGGACTATAGGCAAAGAGCAGGTCTATGAGCTGCAGGGTGTTTGGAGGGGTAAGTAGGAGCACACAGACCTGAAAAAACAGGTTAAGGAGTTTAAACCTGACCCCTAACAACAAGGCCAGGCAACGGAAGGCTTTTGGACAGGGAAGTGACGTGACCTGATGCATGTTGGAAGAGGTTCACCTACCACTTTGCAGAGAAATAAGGAGAGACGGGGTAAGAGGGGAAGAGGAAGAGTTAAGAGGTTTCTGAAGGATTCTAGGAGAGAGACAATGGCAATTTGTTTCCCTAGTCAGGATAAAATAGGCTGTGATACGACAACAAACAAAACCAAACTCTCAGCTACTTTACAAAACACAGATTTGTTTCTTGCTCATGAAATGCCCCCCGTTTATCTGGACGGCCTTCTAGGGTAGCCATGCTCTGTGCGATTTGGGGATCGTGATGCTTAATTTTATGTGTCAACTTGACCAGACTAAGGGGTGCCCAGATAGCCGGTAAAACATTATTTCTGAGTGTGTCTGTGAGGGTACTTCTGGAAGAGAGTAGCATTTGATTCAGTAGACTGAGCAAAGATCACCCTTTCCGACACGGGTGGGTGTCATACAATCCACTGAGGGCTTGAATCGAACAAAAACATGGAGAAAGGGCGAATCCACTCTCTCTTCTGGGATATCCATTTTCTTTTGCCCTTGGACACTGGTGCTCCTGATTCTAGGGCCTTCGGATTCAGACTGGGAATTAAACCACTGGCTCCCCCTGGTTCTGCTAAAGGCTCTCCAGGCGTTTGGGCCTGGACCGAACTACACCACCAGCTTCCCTGGGCCACCAGCTTGCAGACAGCAGATCATCATGTGACTTCTCAGCCTCCCTAATCACCTGAGTCAATCTCTCATAATGAATCTCTTTCTATGTATCCTACTGGTTCTGTTTCTCTGAAGAACTCTGACTAATATGGGATCCAAATTGCTTTAGTCTTGTGGCACCTTCATTTGAACAACTTGCTTCCATAATTGCTGTGGCAGAAGAACATGCTGCAAGGTCACAGCCTGTATCTGAATGTTTTAGCCCAGAAGTGAGATGTGTCATTGGCCAGAACTGGCTACAATGCCTCAACTGGTTACAAAGTGGGAGTCAGAAACAAGCCATCTTCCTGGGTGCCAGAGAGGAGACCTGACACAGGTGTGCACTGGAGACTGGGCCACACCTGTGTCCATTGGCAGGAAGAGCAGCAGACAGATTTGAGATCTACGCTAGAGGTAAGACTGACAGGACTTCATAATATATTAGATGCGGGACGTGAGGGATACGGAGGTATAAAGATACAGATATAAACAAGGCAGCTTCATAATTAATTCTCCAATATTTCTCAGAAATGCCTTCTAAAAATGCTGTGTGCAGAGTACATATGGGCTCAGAAAATCCCTCTTAATCCTGATATGATTTTTCTCCCCTGCCACTTCCTTCTCTCCCGTTCCATCTCCATGCCTCACCTTCTGTGCTTTCTGAATGTATTATCATACTTTCCAAGGATTTGTTTATTTCTAATTTGCCATGTATTTTATTCAGGCAGCACCATTAATGAAGTGAATTACCAAGCTTGCAGCGCTCTGGATTTCGACGGTGTTACCATGTTGAATTGTGAGACTGTGAGAGGCAGACTCCTGTAGGACTGTGTCTCATATATCTCTCCTTAAATCGCAGAATATCTTTCCTAATAAAAGCTCAAAATAGGTTTGCCCAACTAAAATCACAGAAGATATATGGGGGAAAAATTAGAGTGTCTGGGATAAAAGTGGAGATATCGGAATAAAGTCACGGGTCTTTGGAGTCAGCAGGGTCAGCTCCTACTCTCTGACCTTAGCTTTTGTGTCTCAGGATTTCCTTTTTTAAATCTTTGCCCATGAAAGTAGTTATAGGGATAAAATGAGATGTGTATGAAAACACCCAACATGCAGAAGTTACTAAAGAAATGTTGTGTTCTTATTTTCCCAAAGTCATTGTTGCATTATTTCCTCAAACCAGTAACTGCTATTACCACAGAGGTTGGAAACTTCTCGCACGTATAGAAAGTCACTCAACAGGGAAAGGAACAAAAGGGAAGCCCTTTTAGTGTTCGTTGCTTTCTCTGCTTCCCTCATTCTCTTTTCATTCAAACAATCTTCAGAGCTTTCTTGCTTTTCATGTGATGTCATTGAAGCTTTCTCTGGAAAGAGGTAAAGAAAGAATCTTCTCAGTTCTGGGTGGATTCTGTGGACAGATCCCATCTGAGGGGTTGGTACCCACTGCAGATGAAAGCATTTGGTTGAGCCCTCTTTAACTTCCAATTTGGAGACATCCATCAGAGAAGTTAAAGAAGATGGAGAGAAATTGATCAAGATGAAAGCATGACTTGAAAAGACTCTGAATCTTAAACAACATGGCAGAACAAAGCTCCAAGAGAAGTGTATGATTTGCAACTCCAAAAACGGTGATTGGGGGTCAGGTTGGAATGGTTGGAAAGGACTAGTCATCAGGGAGAATTTAAAATGGTCGAGGAAGCCAGCCAGCTGCAGAGCTGAAGCCCATCATAGTTGGCTGCCTGGGAGTTTATTTTCAGGTAGAAGCCCAGACTATGAATCGAGAGGGGCTCACCTAAAACTAACTCAAGTTGGTAGTCTGAGCAGTTGAGTCGAGGGACAGAAAAAGAACAGGATGTGGGAGGGTTGACAGGCAAACTCTGATCACCAAAAACCCTGGGGCCAGACTGTTGCAGACTCAAAGTAAGGATTCTGTTTCTTTCTGTCAGCTCTGGAACTTTCAAACATTTTTTTCAATTTTATTCCAATTTTCTGGTGAAAGCATTTCTTAAAAACTTCTTACCAGAATTAGCTGAAGCAAAGAAAATGATCGGTCCATATATGAATTGCCAAACTGTACAGCTGGGACTGTCCCTGAAGACACAAGTCATTGGAAAGGACAGTGGCCATCCTCTTTAATTGCTTCTTTAATTGTTCCATTAGAGGATCACAATCTCTGCTCACATGTCACTGTGCAAGATTGCTCGTCTGCCCATTTGTAGACTTCGTCACATCTTTCTAGCACTCTCAATTCCCTGCTCTGTTGACATCCTGTCACATTCACCTTGCAAATATGCAGTAAGGTAGCAATGTAATCCCAGGCATAATATGCTACTACACCTAACCACTGAGGGCTGCTGGGAAAACATTACACAGGTGAGTGGGTTGATGCCTTGGTAAGTTCATGGTGTCCAATTTGCAGGGCATTATATACCTTGACAATTCCATTCCAGGCCCAGTTCATGCCATGGCTGGCTACCCTACGCATTCGCCGTTTTCCTATTGCCTTTGCCTGTTCTCTGCCCTCCTCACTTCTCATTTAATGGTGCTTTCTATTTCAGAGCAATACGATGCTGCCCAGTTCACATTAATCTTCCCTACAACTACAAGCCGTCCTGACTTTCTGTCTCAGAGAGAAGTGTCTCCCCCACTCACAAAAGGTTAATCCACCTGCCATCGCATCCATCCCTTCCTGTCTGCTCTGAGATCCAGCCTGCCCCTTGATTCTTCTCCTTGCCAACTGTTTCCCCTCTCCCTATCAAGGTCATCTGCTTCCCAAGCTCAATTCTCTACCATCTCAAAATAAAAAATAAAATCTCACACTCTGGTCTGCAGCTCTATCTCTTGCCTTATCTCTCATTCAAAGTGCAACCCGTTGTTATTCCTTTTCTTTTTGTTACCAGCAAGTCTGCGAACCCATTTCAGGAAAGCTTTGCCAAATCCGAGG